AACTAGACTGAAGAACAAAACGACAGCAACTTGTCTGTTCCCCTTCCCCTAATTCCCCAGCACTGTTCCCATCCCCCCAATTCCCCAATAAAAATGTTTAAAAAGAAAAGAAAAAGAAACTCCATAACCTTTAGCTATCATTCCTATATCCCTCGTGTGCCCCTCCACCAGCCCTAAGTAACCACTAATCTACTTTGTGTATCTATAGAGTTTCCTGTTCTGGACTTTCATAGGAACAGAATCATATAGTATGTAGTGTTTTGTGACTGGCTTCTTTCACTTAGCAAAATATTTTCAAGGGTCATTGTGTTATAGCCATGTACCAATACTTCATTCCTTTTTATGGGGTATCCATACGTAATATTCTATTGCATGGATACCCCACACTTTATCCATTTATCTGTTGATGGCTATTTGGATTGTTTCTACTTTTTGCCTATTATAAATAATGTTGCTATAAACATTCTTATACAAGTTTCTATGTGGAATATGTCTTCATTTCTCTCTAGGAGTGGAATTGAAGGGTCATGTGATAGCTCTATTTTTTTATTAGTTTCAGGTGTACAAAACACATAATATTAGACATTTACACCCCTTACAAAGGGATAACCCCAAGTGTGCTACCCATCTGACACCATACATAGCTATTCCAAAACCATTGACTATATTCCCTATGTTGTACTTTACATCCCGTGACTATATATATATATTTTAAATTATAGTTGACAATATTATTTTATATTAGTTTCTAGTGTACAGGACAGTGGTTAGGCATTTATATAATTTATGAAGTGATCCCCTCGATAAGTGTAGTACCCATTGACACCATACATAGTTTTTACATTATTGACTATATTCTCCATACATAATTTCACATCCTTGTGACTATTTTGTGCCTACCAATTTGTACTTCCTAACCTCTTTACCTTTCTCACCCATCCCCTCATCTCCCCTCCCATCTAGCAACCATCAGTTTAGTTCTCTGTACCTATGAGCCTATTTCTGTTTTGTTTGTTAGTTTATTCTGTTCTTTAGACTTCTCATATAAGTGAGATCATACGGTATTTGTCTTTCTCAGTATGACTTATTTCAGTTAGCATAATATCCTCTAGGTCCATCCATGTTGTTGCAAATAGTAAGATTTCATTCTTTTTTATGGCAGAGTAATACTCCATTGTATATATTATGTACCACAATGATAACTCTATGTTTAATTGTTTTTTTTAATTAAAGTTTATTGGGGCAACAATTGTTAGCAAAGTTACATAGATTTAAGTTGTACAATTCTGTAATACATCACCTATATATCACATTGTGTGTTCACCACCCAGAGTCAGTTCTCCTTCCATCACCATATATTTGATCCCCTTTACTCTCATCTACCACCTCCTTCCCCTCTTACACTCTGGTAACCACTAAACTATTGTCTGTGTCTATGAGTTCTGTTTCTTCATTTGTGTTTCTTGTTCTTTTGTTGTTTTCAGTTTTAATATACCACATATCAGTGAAATTATATGGCTCTCTACTTTTTCTGTCTGACTTATTTCGCTTAGCATTATAATCTCAAGATCCATTCATGTTGTCGCAAATGGCACTATTTCATCTTTTCTTATGGCAGAATAGTATTCCATTGTGTATATATAGCACAACTTCTTTATCCAGTCATCTATCAAAGGATACTCTGGTTGTTTCCATGTATGTTTAATTGTTTTAGGAACTGCCAGACTGATTTCCAAAGTGACTGCATCATTTTACATTCCCATCAGTGGTGTATGAGGGTTTTGATTTCTCTATATCCTCTCCAACACTTGTTGTTTGGCTTTTTGATCCTAGTAATTCTAGTGAGTGAGGTAGTATCTCATTGTGCATAGCAGGCTTTCTTGGCACATGCAAAGCACTTGCTTACAGAACAAGAGGCCTTCTTTTTGGCTCTTTGGAAGCGCTGTGATTAGATACTTTATTTTCTCCTCCCCTTCCTTTCCTTTCTTCTACATTTTATATGATGTGCAGTCACCAACCTCTTGCCCCTCCTTATGTGTCAGGTTCGAGAGATGCTGCGGATGAGAGATTCCAATGGAGCCAGGATGCTGACGCTAATAACTGAGCAGTTTATGGCAGATCCACGACTTACACTCTGGAGGCAACAAGGAACAAGCATGACAGATAAATGCAGGCAGCTCTGGGATGAGCTAGGTAAGTCCCCTTATCTCAGAGAAATGCTATGTCAGTCCAACCAGCTTGCTCCCTGGCAACAGTGTTAGTGAACACTTGCCATCAGTCATTACACAGATATTGCTGAGTGAACATTAGCCCAGCTGGTGGAAGATTTAGACTCTACAGAGGTCACCCAGAGTAATTCTGAACTCACTTGTGTTGCTTCCATAGCACTGTGCTTTGTTATTGACATCAGTATTCTGTTCCAGATGATACCACATAGAAACCTTTGCTGAGAGAAAACCTCTTCCCTTAGTTTCTGTTGCATGGCACTGACCTGGCCCTCCAGATACTTATCAGCCTCATTTTTCTTGCTTTCCCTAGGTCTGTTATTGTTTTTCGCTCCTGGAGAGACCTCTTAGACATAGGACAGTTTCCAAGACTTGGGCCTTCGACGTTTATCCTTGTTTATCTATACTCCCTTGAGAACTTTTTGTTTTGTTTTATTTGTTTGTTTTAGTATGGCTTGAGAGCTTACCTCTATGGTGATCTCAGCCTCATCTTCTTTCCACTTACCTGACTTCCAGTCCTATATTAGCAGCTACCCTTCGGCCATTTCCATTGAAAATCCCCTGATCACCTTAAGCTTGAGAAATCTAAAAATTAAGTCAGGCCTCCTACAAAAAAAATGAGAGCGAGAGATCCCATCCCCTGACTCTGGCATCAGCACCACCATTCCTTACTCTATAAAACTTATTGTCAAGCACTCATTTTTCTTTTATTCCCTACATCTAATCATCAACTTCATTTGATTCCCCATTCTTCAAAATGCAAGTTAGTATCCGTTTTCACTCCCTTATTATTTACCATCACCACTGGTCTTGTTGAGGGCCTTTGGACTTTTAGATTAAATTAGAACGTGGCCTCCTGAATGGCCTCCCTGTTGTACATTCTTCTTATCCAGGCCATAGTCTTTGGTCATCATTTCTCTTTATCATTCCCTTGCTCCAAGGCCAGTTTTGCAGTGCCAAGACTCAATTCCTCTTCATACTGTCCGAATCTTCCCCTGAACTCACCATCCAATCATGGCCCCACTTTTGGGTTATACTGAAAAAGGTCTATATGGCATATTCTAAAAGTTCTAATACAGCTCCTCAGTACTTCCCCCACCCCAGAAAGCAACAACAGACTTTCCACTCATACAAAATAGCACAAGAAAAAACTGCAGCTTAGGATTTTAGTGAGTTTTTCTGGACCTAAGCCCCTGAAGCACATATTTTGTAGTCTTTTACAGTGCAGAAAGCCTTGGGGATTAAGGTTTAATGACTCTTGGACTGTACTTGGTTATTTTGGGGGTGGTAAGTGGGGGTTTTTAGTTTGGTTGCTGAGGCTTTTTGATATCACCTGGAGCACTAATGGCTTTGGAACTTTGATTAATAACGAATAGGTACATTATTATTATTATGTGCTAGTCTTCCTGTTAAAGATTGTACTCACATTGTTTCATTTAATTCTCACAACAACCCTGTGAGGTCATTGTGTGTTTCTTGCAAAGAAACAGAGATAGCTCTGGTTACTTCTGGATACAGAATAAAATAAAGAGTTATAGAAAACTTTCTCTGCCTTGACACAATCACACTTTCTAAAGTATAAGAATATTGCACTATTAGTCTATAGCAACCAGTTGTAACTAGGGTCATATGACACAATGTATGGCAACTTGGAAACTACTTCTAGACCAGCGGTTCTCAACCTATGGGTCACAACCCCTTTGGGGTCGAACGACCCTTTCACAGGGGTCGCCTAAGACCATCGGAAAACACATATTTTCGATGGTCTTAGGAACCGAGACACCACTCCTCTATCCATCTCCAGGCGGGTCCACCAACATGCAGATACGCTCACATACGAGTACCCGGCGTGATGACATCATCGCTCCAACCCCATCACATACACCCCTTACAAATACAGGTGTATGTGACAGGGTTGGCGTCATAATGTACTTATGTGGACCAGTCACACATGTGTAGAGAGCAGCTACTGTGTAGAAAGCAGCTGCTGTGTTGAAAGCAGCACTATTGGAGGTAAAACAACACTTCATGAATTATAAATATTTCACAATATATAATTACATATTGTTTTTGTGATTAATCACTATGCTCTAATTATATTCAATTTGTAACAATGAAAATACATCCTGCATATCAGATATTTATATTATGATTCATAACAGTAGCAAAATTACAGTTATAGAGTAGCAACAAAAATAATTTTATGGTTGGGGGTCACCACAACATGAGGAACTGTATTAAGGGGTCACGGCATTAGGAAGGTTGAGACCCACTGTTCTAGACTCTTTCCTCAGAAGGGATTATAGGCATAGACTCCCAGGTTAAGATATTGGCATCTCCATATCTTTACTATAGAAAACTGAGCTCAGAATAGTTAAGTATTTTGTTCACAGTGACACACTAATAAGTGGGGGCTCTAATGCTGGAACCCCAATCTGTCTGACTCCAAATCAAACATCCTTCTGCAACATCTCCCTCAATTCTATCTTGTTATGCACTTTGTTTCCCAAAGTGCATGTTTCCTAAGAATTTGAAATCAGCCTTCTTCAGACAGTCTGTTTCATCTGAGGCCTGAACCTCTTGGAGTAATTTCTGTGACAATCATGGGATTGTGCTTTGGACTTAGGCTTAGTCTTTGGGGCAGAGGTAGGTGAGAAGAAGTAAGCAGAGCTGGCTCTCAGTGCTTTTAAAGCTCTTTTCATATGCTTAGGTTCATTATGAAAAGCTCTTCTGACATTTTCATATCTGAGAAATTGCTTTATCAACCTTCCAAGAAATTCTCAGCATTCTGCAAAGACAGTGGTTCTCAAACTTTTCTGAAGCACCTGGAGTACTTGTTTAAACAAATTAATGTGTCCTATCCCCAAAGTTTCTGATTCAGTAGGTGGAGTGGGGCCTGATAATTTGCTTTTCTAACAGATTCCCAGGGGATGTTGATGCTGCTCTTCCAGAGACCACATTTTGAGAACCACTGCACTATGGGAAGTCTTATGGGGTTAGACACTACAGCGCAGTGCATTCATGCTTTTTCTAAGTACTCTGAGGGTTCCTTTCTGGTCACAAGGCCTGCTCACCGAGGGAGGGCCTAGGCAGGATTTGTAGGAGCCTTTTTAACCCTGTCCCCCAATTACCCTCCCATCTATCACCCTGATAAATCAGGTACCCATCTGACACTGTACATAGTTATTACAATATTATTGACTATATCCCTAATGCTATACACTACATCCCCATACTATGGTATAACAACCAATTTGTACTTCTTAATACCTTCCCCTTGTTCACCCATCCGCAATCCCCCTCCCGTCTGGCAACCATCAAAATGTTCTCTGTATCTATGAGTTTCTTTCTGATTTTTGTTTGTTTGTTTTGTTCTTCAGATTCCACATATAAGTGAAATCACATTGCATCTGTCTTTCTTTGTCTGACTTAACTCCACTCAGCACAATTACCCTCCAGGTGCATCCATGCCACTGAAGATGGCAAGAACCCATTCCCTTCCATGGCCAAGCAATATCCTAGTGTATATATGTACCACCTACTCTTTATCCATTCATCCATTGAAGGACACCCAGTCTGCCTCCACATGTTGGCCATTGTAAACAATGCTGCAGTGAACATATGGATGCGCATGTCCCCTTGAAGTAACATTTTGGGCTCCTTCAGATAAATACTCAGAAGTGGGATTATTGGGTCCTTCTTTGTCTCTTGTTATAGCCTTTGTTTTAAAGTCTATTTTGTCTGGTGTAAGTATTGTTACTCCAGTTTTGTTTTGTTTTTTCTTGTTTCCATTTTCATGAAATATCTTGTTCCAATCCCTTTACTTTCAGTCTGCGTGTGTCTTTCAATATGAGGTGAGTCTCTTATATACAGCATATGTAATGCTGGTTTGGTGGTGAGAACTCCTTTAGCTTTTTCTTGTCTGGGAAGTTCTTTATCTGTCCTTCCATTTTAAATGATAGCCTTGCTGCGTAAAGTACCCTTGGTTGTAGGTCCTTGCTCTTCATCACTTTGAATATTTTTTGCCAGTTCCCTCTGGCCTGCAAAGTTTCTGTTGAGAAATCAGCTGACAGTTTTATGGGAGCTTTCTTGTAGGTAACTGCATTTCTCTTCCTGCTTTTAAGATTCTCTTTTTGTCTTTAACCTTTGGCATTTTGATAATGATGTGTCTTAGTGTGGGCCTCTTTGGGTTTGTCTTGTCTGGAACTCTCTGCAGTTCTTGGGCTCATATATTTATTTCCTTTGCCAGGTTAGGGAAGTTTCGATTACTATTTTTTCAAATAAGTTTTCAAGTTCTTGCTCTCTCTCTTCTCCTTCTGGTACCTCTATTATGCGAATATTGTTACACTTGATGTTGTCCCAGAGGCCCCTTAAACTATCCTCATTTTTGTAGGGGGGGAGGATTTTTTTTGTTGTTCTAAGTGAGTGTTTTCTGCTATCTTATCTTCGAAATTGCTGATTTGATCCTCTGCTTAATCTAATCTATTGTTGATTCCCTATAATGTCTTCTTCATTTCAGTTATTGTATTCTTTATTTATTTTTTTATTTTAAAAAAATATTTTATTGGAGAATTGGGGGCGGGAACAGCTTTGGGGAATTGGGGAAGGGGAACAAACAAGTTGCTGTCCTTTTGTTCTTCAGTCTAGTTGCAGAGCACGTCGCTTCACTGGCCCATGTTGGCATTGTGATCACTACGCTCTTCCCGGCTGAGGCAGATAGGTCGCCAGCCATTGGATGGTGGCTCACGGCAGCTCACACCGGCTGCCAGCCATTCGCCATAGCTTACAGCAGCCCACTGCATAAGGAGCTGCAGCCTATGCCATCGCTGGCACCTCACCGGCAGCCCAGCTCCAAGTGGAGCTGTTGCTCACCATCTTAGCTGTAGAGGGTGCAGCGTTACTGGCCCATGTTTGATCCAGACCAGTGGCCCTGCTGCTCAGAGCTCGTGCTCCCAAGCCAACTCTTAACCAACGAGCCACTTGGCCGGCCCTGTATTCTTTGTTTTTGAGATGGTTCTTTTTTATGTTTTC